ATTGTTGTGCTTACGTAATAACGTACAAAAAATAACAAGAAGAAAAAAATCTATGATCATAAGAGTTTGCACGATAAGTTAAAATTTTAGGTTCATATAATTTTCCCAATATTCATTCATTTCCGACACAATTCTTTTCCGACAGAGTTTTTCCAATTATTTTTTCCTAAAAATTACTCCCAAGTTCCAATATTTTTTTTTTTGTATATTCTCACTTCCTCAACATTTTCGTTTTACTGATATTTATTAAAAACATAAGAAAAAAGCAATTTAAGCTAATTTAGGTGTCTTTAACACTTAGTAATCAGCATAATAAACTAAGCTATTCAAGTCATAAATATTTATTAATTTATTTGCGTTTAAACGAGTACATGCAATAAATATTTTAAATCAACGAAATTTACTAATTTCATTTTTTATGAACGAGTTAAGGATCATTTATTAATTCAGGTATTAAACTAAGCTACTCAAGCTTATAGATACTTTCTATTTAATTTCTATACTTATAAGAATAAAAGGAAATCAAGTAGTAAACATTCATGGACTTTACATGAACTTAAATTTTTCAATTAAAAAAGTGATAAATCGAGCAAATGTGCTTGTAGCATTTTGCTAGGAAATCAAAATCTTAAAAGCTTTATCACTGTTTGCAAAATGATGTATCTTTGATCAAATTTTCAGATCACTGTATAAATATACAATCGCTTGATTGTCGTTCGATTGTGCGATTGTAAAGTGATTTCCTTAATAAAAATCCGACTGTTTATATCCATATCCTTAAAATAATGTTCACATTCTCAATCGCGCAAAATTTAATCAAAGATGCAAACATTGACAAACATTGACTGCAGATCATTTATGGCTCAATTTTCATTGGTTTTCATCTGGTTATTGTATACTCTTTGGAAAATGATGCAGTTACTAGATACTTGTTAGCAAAGATATTATTAAAAACTTTCAAATATAATGTATATACCTATAAAAGTGTCATTGTATTTCTTTGGCGTAAAAGTTTGGGATGAGTCTAGACATTTTTAATTTCGTTGTTACATGAATCATATAATCCAATTAGTAAGCAATAAATTAGAATGCCATTTCTAAAAGCTCTTTATATTATTATGTTATATTTTATTGGGATTATGATTATAAATATGACTATTATTGTATACAAAGATAAACATAGCGCCACAAAGTGATGAAATGGTGCAGAGATACTTATGTCACTGAGTTATTACCTATTGTAAGTCATAATCTGTGAGCATGAATGCGAGTGTGAAATAGAATCGGAATTACTTTATCCAGAACCAAGAATGAAATACATAGCTCCAGATGATGTACTAGATTGTCCATGGTGTCCGAATGAACGACAACAGAGTCGAGTGTTTTGGCCTGCAGTATGTTTGATTTCGCATGAAACTCAGAATCACACGCCACAATTGAAAAAATAATCAATGCATCAAGCGTGGCAGTTGTTCAACCTCGTATAGCTCCACATAAACATAATCTACAAAATCTGAATCCGGTTTACAGAACAGACAAAAAATGAGAGATAGCGTGATATATAAACCATTCAGACTATATTCCTGTATTCGGGATATTGATATTATACTTACTATCCGGGATTTAAAAAATTTTTTCTGAGCTTTTTTATCGCGGCTTTCGAAATGGTTGAAAATGGCAAATAAATTTTTTTTTGGTGAATACTGCGACGATTACCTCAGCACATAGATTAGAGAGATTAGAGATCAATGCCCGATTTTACATACATACAATGTAATTGTTGACTAAAACAATTACATTGTATGTACGTAAAATCAGGAGTATTCAGGTATTCGCGCGTTATTCACAGCATTCATCATAGTATTCACCAAAAAATTTTTATTTTCCATTTTCAACCATTTCGAAAACCGCGATAAATCCCGAATGATAAGTATCCCAAATAGAGATGTGCGATCTCGCACTTATCGATGACGTTGCTTAATTGTTACATGATAAAGATTATGAAAACCCACTGAATGTCAATGTTTACATAAATAATCATATGTGATGATTAAGCACACATCACTGATAAATGCGAGATGCCATCTCTAATCCCAAATATAGAAATATAGTTCTGAGTGATTTGTATATCACTGGTATGCGGATTTTTTTATGACATAATCTACCTGAAAAAAGGAAAACGAAATATTATCATCAGAGGCATTGTCATTTATTTAAAGCAATAGGATATTCAAGTAACATTTGAGTGTAAAAAGGGTACCTAAAAAGGTTAAATAATGCCTTAAAAAAGTTAAAGATTTGTCAAGAAGTGCATTTATGTGAATAAATGTTAATAGCTAAACAGAACAATGCATGTATATATAATAATAATAAAGCACGTCATCTGATGTTCCCAAATAATTTTTATCTTGATGTTAAAAAAAAAACGTACCAATACCTCACGCATAAGTTATAACCAACTACTCACAAGCTATAAACATATTTGTTGGATTTATGACTTACATTTTCCCTTCCAAATCTTCTTAATTCAGTTTATCAATTGATCCATTAACGATTGATTAAGATCCTGTTCTTTTATTATGTTTCAAGATATATCAATTTTACCTGAAACAATAACATCTGTCGTCTATTACCGCGTAATTACTATTTGTGCTAACTGTTTAAAGTTATGATGATGTAATTTACTGCCATTTCTGAAGCTGTGAAATAAAAGAAAATTGAACATTCAAAAATTTTGTGAAAAATAGAGATTTATAACATCACATCATTTTTTATCTTGTGATAAATGAAAAAATAGAAGAAAATAGAATGAAAGTGATTATTTCAAATAATTATAAAAGGCAGCTTTTTTTTTCTTTTCCTCTATAAAAAAAAAAAAAAAAAAAAAAAAAACACACATTTCTCTCAACAACCTCTATTTTACGATCATTAATAATCTACCAACTATAAAAAAACAAAATCCGATCTAGGTCTACGGTTAGTTTTAATAATAACAATACCGTATTTTCGCGGAATAACGCTCATCTGCGCGTTATTTTGAGTATATGCGCGTTATTTTGAGTACGCGCATGGGCGTTATTTTGAGACAAATGTAAAAATTTTAAGCATCTTGTCTAAAACAAAAAATGTTCCGGAGCTAGGTTGATACTTAGTGGATCTAGTTCCGGAACATTTGTTGTAAATAAGCACCCCTTACTATAAGATGCGCGTTATTTCGAGACGCGCATGGGCGTTATTTTGAAGCTATATATGTTATTTTTAGGAGGCGCAATTTCGAAATAACGCTCATGAGCGTTATTCCGCGAAAATACGGAATAACATATAATCAAATTCACTTAAAGACATTTCTAACCGAAATTCAATTGTTTAACTAGATGGCTGTTTCTAAGCAGAATATAACCGTTCAAAACGTTCCAAATGAAATAATGATATATATTTTTAAATACGTTATCTTTCCCGCAAATTTGGCTGCAAGCTGTAAAAGATGGTTTGATATCTCCAAAGACTGGCAAGCTAAGAGTAATTGGCTTATTTTTCACTATGGATTGAAAGATTGTCTCGCTAATGCCATTATGCTGGGATCTACATTTCTTGATGGTGTCACTACACGGGCGATCATCGCCAAAATTCCTGAGAAAGATCACATTGGAGAAATTATAAGTGCAATTTTGATTAGCAAAAGCGTAACAATAATTAAATTATTGAAAGAAATTGAATACCCGCGAATACCTGAAATAAATGATGCAGTAATAAAATCGGTGCTCCTTAAAACTTTTCAGCAAACTCCACCTGGAATTGAGACTATAACTCTGGTGTTAAAAGAATTAATTAGTCTCGGATTTAATTTACATTACAAGCTTATTGACAATATTTTAGTTGATTTTCTTACGCAATTTCAAAATCATTTAGATACTATTATGATATTGGTGGAATTATTAAGAGAGATTAAAGGAGAATCTCTTGACAATTTTATGAACAAAGTTTTAGCAGCATAAAAACATTAATCAATTCAACAAAATCGATCGATATATATTGTATTATTTACTTATTATCATTTCATAGTTTTGGCTTCTTTTAATTTTTTAATATTCATAAACTCAATTCTAATATAAGTTACTAAACTTTATATATTTGTATTCTTATTTATCCATAATAATTTTTGTAAATATTTTATTTAGATATAGCATATACTGTATAGGATATTTGGAATAGTTAAGAATAATGTTAGAGACAATAATAATTGCTCATTAACGTCATTAACGAAAATGATTTATTTTAAAATTTGAAATACCTATTCCAGATGAAATTAAGATCTTATTCATAAATTCCTAAATTCTTTTGACTGCGATAAAATAATTGATCAATAATTTATATGCCTTTTAAAAAAATTTTTAAAATCATATTCAGAATTTGCTCGGGATATTCTTTTAAGAGATGAGCATTTTCCATAATAAAATCTATATAAACCTTTAAATTTCTGAATATTTTTTGAAACCTTGTTAATTTCCTGATTATAATTTTTATCAAGCTAAAAATTATAATCAGGAAATTAACAAGGTTTTCAAAATATTCAGAAATTTTAAAGGTTTTGTAAAGAGTTTTGTTACGGAAAATACTCATCTCTTAAAAAAATAATTTGAGTAAAGTCTAAATATGCCCTTAAAAAAATTTTATGCAGGGATGATTCTTCAAAACATCATGGCCATCCAATCTTTAAAAAAGTCACAATTCAGGACAGAATAAAATGTTGTTAATCCAGATTGTATCGATACTACCATGTTGATTACACGCTACTCAGTGTCGCATGAACAGGACTTTACGCGAATTGTCCACTATTATTTATAACAGAATTATACATTTTTATTACTATTTTTATTTTTTTTCTTCCTATACGATAGTTCAGTGGTTTCTTAATATTTTTATCTTGAATAATCATAGAAGTAATGTTGACAAGTGAAAGTTTAAAATTTTATAAGTAGTCTTGCTATTCAACAGGAATAGGTAGAGCTTCTCATTTATTAAATTAATAAAGGGTAGTCACAATTAGGATGTAAAATTTACAATAATTTCAAAATTTTGATGTAACTTACGATGTAACTTACAAACAATTGTCATATATTCACTTTGTCAAAAATTCAAAAAATCATGTAAGTTATTGTATAAGTTATAATGTAAGTTACTACCCTAGTCACCATACACTAACTCGAGTAATTTATTGAATATTTGCCCTCGAGTAATTTATTGAATATTTGCCATATGTCTATTTATATCTTCATATCATTTAGTCGTTTACTCTTTCGTGCAGTAATTACAAATCACATTAAATCCTCTACATAGCGCTCCTAACTAAACGGGGTTGCACTGTTAAACCCGTCCGATAACCCGACACCATTTGATTAGTACATGACCCGGGTTAATTCGGCATGCAGTCGGAAAATGTGTACCAGGTTGTTGACGTAGTTCTTCTAATCTACGAATCAGCTTTTAAGATTAGGCGCGTTTGCTCTGCCAAAAATCGCTCATAACTCAAAAATCAGCATAAAAGACCACCTTTTGTGCTCTAACAAAAGTTTCGTTGGACAATTTTACTATTAAAACTACTCCGCTCTAGTTCTTAACGAATTTTAAGAATTTTGTCTGCGCCACCAACCTGGTACACATTTTCCAATTGCATTGGGCATATGCAATTACGTAAATAAAAATAAACTATCTCTATGAAAATAAATTATTGCTACGTAATATTGCATAATCAATAAAGAAAAAAAATTAATACAGTAAATAAAAATTCAAAAGAAAGAAATTGAGAGAAAGAATTATCTTTATATATCGTTGTGTACAGTGCGATAATATATTTTTAAAAATATAAAATGAACAAATTATAAAACAATAGTTTTTATTCTTGCGGCATGTTATAGAAGGGGAAATTACATAGCAAAATAAATTAGATTGCTAGAGCATAAAAGTCATTAGAATATTAATCTATTAATTCTTATTGTATAGCTTTATTTAGAAAGATTTAATCCTTAAATTCTATAATTAGTTTATTTCAATTGCATGTAATTTCGTATAATACAGTAATATTTTAATAAATACAAAATAAATGCAAAATAGTATTGTTTATTTGAAAGATTCGCAAATTTGCGAATCCGGGTTGTTGTGAGATGACCCCAAACCCGACCCGTTGATTAGGAGCACTACAATCTCTAATATGTGTAATTTCGAGAACGTGCGTTATTTTGAGATAAAGCTGATCGTATAACATAGGAGAACATTTATGTAATTGATTAATTTATATTGATGCAAATATGCATTGTTATTTCTGAACTCGCATAGTCATCTTTTCGAAGCTATGCATGTAATTTCTAGATTTTAAATTTTCGAATAACGCACATGGGCGCTATTACGCGAAAATACGGTAATTATTTGAAAGATAATATAGTAAAATTTAATTGGGTAGCCAAAAACAATTATCTATATATATTGTCAAAATTTTAGGTTCCTTGTTACAAAAATTATGCGAAATAATATCGCGCAACTGCTCGGATCTTTCCAACCAAACAAAAATTCTCAAAAATAAAATATATATAATATATAAACAAATATGAAAGAAAATGTCAATTCTAGAAGTTAATAAATACAGTATGGCAAGTATCATATTTAAGAAAATTCAATGGCCATAGATTTTTCATAGGATTCATGGCTTGAATATTTTACTGAAGAGCAATAATATGATATTGTCGATAATGTTGGAATAATTGCATCCGCCTTTTGGAATTCTTCTTTGATTGCTAATTTTTCTGTATCTGCCATCTTATCATTATTTAATATATCGTACCACTCTTTTAATTTATTCTTAACTTCAGATGCGGTTGGTCTTTTAATGGGATCATTATCCATACATTGGTTTGCTAATTGTTTATAGCATTCAGGAGTACCCTTGCCAAATTCTGGACGCAAACCATTTCTTAATATTTTGTACGCCAATTCTAGATTATAATCAATATTATAATAAGGTGGTGTTCCTATAGACATTTCAGTCATAATTATACCAAAACTATAAACGTCTGCTGCCATTGTGTAAGGTTCCTTACTTTTTTCTCTACGATTTGTATCCAACACTTCCGGAGCAATATAAGGCAATACTCCATAACATTCATTTCTCAAATCCAAATCATCCTTCTTTCTAGAAAGCCCTAAACCTGCAATATAAGATTTTAGATCTCCACGAATATATTGATTATTCAATATATTGCCACTATGAAGGTCTCGATGAACATATTCTTTCTTATGAACTCGGGCTAAATCTCTTGATAAGTCACAAAGTTGTGCTAATTTATGTTTCCAATCAAGTTCCTTAAAACTTGATTTCAAGTAATCTCGAAGAGATCCTCTATTTGCATATTGAAATACCATTAAATATACATTATTTAATTGGGTCGTGTGTTAATCCATATACTTCAAGCTTATTTCCCACTATTCTTAATTGCATGTAATTATCAAACTTATTAAATAGATAGAAAAAATCATATGTAAATAAAACTTGTTATGCAAATTTAATTCATATCATTAAATAATTCAGACTTACTTCAGTTAAAAAACTTTTATGAGAGCTAGAACCAGGTAATGTCTTGAGTGCAACTATGCAAGATACCGTACGTTCACGTATAAACTTCCCAGACCCAGGTTTGCCCGAAATGATTCTTTTACCATCTAATCATGTAGCTGAAAACACTTCACCAAAAGCTCCTTTACCAATTTTTTGTACGTCACTTAATCGATCAAAAGGGATCCATTCAATTGCATCTTCATATTTCGTAACCTTAAGTTGAAATCCTTTAATGCAATCATCAATATTCTTATTTCCACTTGTCCATCCTTGAGTTATTCTCTTAGTATCACAAGTTTGACACCAGGCAAAAGAAGAATAACCTTGTTTACGATATTCACAAATGCCATTTCCATACATTCTTTTCAAATTAAGCCTATCAAACACCATAATATATTTATTGGTAGTTGTATCTTGAGTTATTCCATATATTTTAAGTTCACTATCCTTTAATTGTGCTTTAAACTTAAAAAAAAATATGACAATAAAATATATGCCAATTAAAATCAAGCTGCATATATTGATCATCATAAACTTTTAACTTACTTCTTTTAAAAAATCTAATGAATTCTGAGAATCAGTCAAGGTATTAAGCAAGATCGTACGTGATGATGAACGAGACTTTTTATATAGTGAATGTACACCGGAAATCACTCGTACACCATCTAGCCATGTTGCTGAATATCCGTCTTCAATTTCTTGAATATTCTCTAATCTATTAAAAGGAATCCATTCAATAACATCACCATATTCTGTAGCATTAAGTTGGGATTCTTTAATGTAATCATTAATATCTTTAACATCACACGTCCATTCTTGAACTGTTCTTGGAGGGTCGCATACTTGACACCAGGCCTTTGAAGTATTATAATTTCTACAATATGCATATGTTCCATTATGTTCCATTCTCTCAGAACTAAATTCATCAAATACTAAAATATATTCATTGTTGGTTGTATTTCGTGTTAGTCCATATATTATAAGATTTTTTCTTTTCTTTGATCGTTTTTTATTTATGTTGATAAGATCTTTAAACTTATAAAATATACAGCATAAACGAAATTATAAATAATTCATAAAGGCATGTTATTAACCAAAAGAAAACAATTCATAATGATAAAATATTAACTTACTTCTTTTAAAAAATCTAATGAATTATCAGATCCTGGAAAGGTTTTAAGAGCCACTCTATACGATGATGTACGTGACTGCGTGTATTTCGAATTTTCACCAAAAACCGTTCTTATGCCATCTAACCATATTGCTGATAATTTATCACCAGCCTTTTGAATGCTATTTAATATATTAAAAGGAATCCATTCAATGACACTCTTATAGCTTGTGGCTCTAATTTGAGATTCCTTAATAAAATCATCAATAATTTTATTCCCACTCGACAAATTTTGGTCCATTTTCTGAGGATCGCATATCATGCACCAGGCATCAGGAATATAATAATGTTGCTTGTTATGTCTGTGGTGCCAATCTCCATCATCAAATACCACAGCATATTCATTGGTTGTTGTGATTCGTGTTAGTCCACGTACTTTAAAATTAACTTGCGCTAGTTTCTTAAACTTACAATACATAAAATAAACCATTTTATATATATGTAAACTATAAAATCAATAACCTATAACAAAAACTTACCTTTTTTAAAAAGTTTAATGAATTCTGAGAATCAGGTAATGTGTTAAGTCTACTCTTTGTGGTGAGCGTGATTGCGTGGATTTTCTGTCTAGTTCTAAAGTCCTATGTACGCAGTCTAACCACGTTGCAAACAATTCTTCACCAGTGTCTTGAACATCATTTAATCTATTAAAAGGGATCCAATAGACAATGCTCTCAAAATCCATGGCATCAAATTGAAGTAGCTTAATACAATTGTCAACATTCATGTTTCCGCTTGTCCATCCTTGATCCATTCTTTGAGGATTGCAGGTTAGACACCAGGCTTCAGAAGTATTATATAACTCACAAATACACATATTCCATTAGAAACATTTCTTAAAGAACCGATATTGAAAATGCCACCATATATTCATTGTTATTGTATTTTGGGTCAATTCATGTACTTTAATCTCGCTACTTTTCAATTGCATGTAATTCTTGAACTTAAATTAATAGAAGTTCAGTAAATAAAATCACATATATATAATATATCACAAATGAAAGATACTGCATACTTCTCTTAAAAAATTTAATGAGTTTTTAGAACCAGGAAACGTTTTGAGTTCTACAGAAAATTGATTTCGTTTTTTGCATATCTTTACTTGCCTATGGCCCACATAAAATTCATCATGTTCTTCGTGTTCTTCATTTACCTTTACTTGCCATATTAAAAATTACGCTATTAACTGATCTTCAACACACTTTTCCTGATACTATTTGTAGCGAGATCGATTTCTCTTCAACAGTGATAGCGAGCACCAATCACATATTACGTCAATTGTTTTTTATTTTTTTTTTAACATATTTTTAAGTTATTTACCTCTTATTAACTTCTTTTATTATTGTTTATTTAGTTTGTAAATGCCAGATCATTTATTTAATCAAAGTCTCTAAAGTAAACTATTTATTTTTTTTCTCATTCTTGTAAATTTAATATATAAGAATCCTTTTTTTGATTTGAATATTATGGTAGCTATCTATTTCCCATTCATTATACTATTTATGTTTATTTACTGTAGACATAATGATAAGTGCACTTAAGCTTAAACATCTTTATTTAATATCTTTCTATTTGCACAGATTTATTACTATTATATTATTTCACCAATCCATATAATAATGTAAGTAACATAAGTAATAGGTCATTATACATTACTAACAATACTATGCTTTAAATATACAAACTGGTTAAATTAATTCAATGAGTAGGTAGATAATAGTTGATAAGTTGATAATTTCAACAGTGGAAAGGTTCATGATTTTAACAAATATGTGGGTTCATGATCTTAATATGACTTGAATGTTAGTGGATGACAATTTCAACAGAGGCAGGCTCATGATTTTAATAATAAGTAGGTTAGTAGTAGGTAGGTTAATGGTTTTATTAGTGATGGGTTTATAATTTCAATGAAGTATGGGTTCATGATTTCAAAATTGGATGGGTTAATGATCTCAATAATGAGTGGTTTCACGATTTTGACAATGTTTTCAACAGTGATGAGTTCACGATTTCAACAATAGGTGGGTAAGTAATTTTAACATAATTATTTTAGCGGTGGGTAGTTCATGATTCCATCAGTGAGTAGTTTATGATTTCAACAGTGGTTGAGTTAATGATTTTAACAATATGTAATTTAGTAATTTCATCATTTTGAGTTTATTATGTATTTTCAAATTAAATTCTTAAAAGTAGAAAACAAGATATATTTCAAAAATATCTAATTGTTTCACGTTCCTGGTTTAAGTACGAATACGTCGCGCAGCTATCCTAATTGACGAATGACAAAAATGACGAAACTCGTGGCGAATGACGAAAATCATGACGAATCATAAATAAATTAGTCCATGCGAACTTAATTTTTTATTCATTATTATATTTACCCAGTTTCTATTTTTTTGACATATTTATCCGACATTACCCGATGATCTGCAATACCCGGATGTATTCTATAGGCCTGACGAAGAAAGGATCGACGAAACTTCATGATGAAATAACAGTAAACAGTAATTTTGAAAAAATTTAAGATTCGGAATATCCAGAGGCCTTAATAAAAGAGCTTTTTGAAAGATGGACAACTGCATTTTTATATTTCATTGGTCAAATTAATTTCATCAAGAGTTTCATCAATCGTCAGTAGTTTCGTCAATCGGCAGTAGTAACGTCAAATCATCAAGTTTCGTCAGATGAAACCATTGACGAAACCATTTCGTCAGTGCAAAATAGTTTCGTCAGGCATCATTAATCTACACTCAAAAATGGAGGTCTAAGCCTTGTCCAATTACGTATTAATCTACATAGTGATAACCTACTAACCATAAATGTATCGGTATCCCCCTTTGCTTTAGCCACCCCTCAAATTGGTAAATGCTGACCAGTTTTTAACAGACTACGTATTAGGCCACGCAAAGTTAATTTTTCGTTTTGCATTACATAGAATCTGAAAATTGGGTCGGTCGGTCGGATTTTATTATTATATTATTTTTTTAATTTGAACGTTACCAAAGGAAAACTAGACCTCGGGCTTACGATTTTATTTGTTGCAGACATGTTTTAGTTCAGTAAATTTATAAATTTAAAGGCCCAAAGGATAGTTTTCGCTTGGTGTCCTATCGGATAATTCCGGAAAATTAAGGTCACCGTCGGTAAACACCGGATAAAAAGATGAAAAAAATAAACAGCAAAAATGGAATAATTAGCGTAATTGAAACTCCAAAAAAAAAAAAAAAAAATAGGGATTTTGAAAAATTTGGGTCGGCGGGTAATGCTAAACGAAAAATCATCTTTGCATGGCCTTAA